TCAAGCGTTGGAATCGCCATGCCAACACACAACATTATACCTGCCAAAACATCCACGGCTTTTAATACTGCCAACTTTACAGCCCATACATCAAACTCTTTCTTCTTGGTTTGCACAGTTGTTTTCTTAATTGAAAAAATGGTAAGTTGAAAAAATATTTTTTACTATTCCTAAAGTGCTAAAATGTATTTATTCCTTTATAACATGAGATTTTCATTTCTATTGAATAAAAATCTGGCTTCAACAAATAAAGTTCATTATTTGACTTTTAACTAAGAAAAAGGCAGTGAAATCCGCAACAACAATGAACTCGTTTCCACACAAGCATTCAAGGGACAAAAAAAAAAATAAAATTAAAAAGGATATATTCACAGAAAGTAGTTCTGAAACTACTTTTCAAATCAAAGATTCAAAGATTCACCTATATGTACAAGACCCTAGTACAGCAAGGCTGGAGAGAACAGGAACCAGAGCCAGCCTTGCCTGGAGGGGCTGGGATTTCCCAGGCCAGCAACAAAGAGACAGCAATGTGCTGATAAAAACAGTTTATCCAGAGCCAGTTTAGAGTAAACACGTGTCTAGTTCTAATTTCCATAGCCAGTGATAGCTGTCATAACCTCTCAGCTCCCAGAGGCTCTTGGGGCGACTGCGTTGCTCCCTTGCCGGGTGGTGCTTGCAGGAGAGCTCTCCTGACAGAAGTCATTGCAAGCTCCACCATCAGCTTGCACGGGGCTGGGAATGCACCCAACATGTTTGCAATGCGTAAATTGGAAGATATGGGCCAAGAAGTCACACAGGGACTAACTGTATGCAGCTAACCTCAGTGAAAAGTTCCTGACATAAATCAGAATTGGTTTCCCTCCATGGGTTACATACCTCAAGTACTAACACATCTTGCCCAAGACCAATACTTTGCAGGCTATACTTCAGATTCACATTTTTCTTTCCCTCTGGACTTGGTCTCATTCACCTCAAAAATGCAGCAAATGGCTTACATGGGGCAGCAAAGGAAATAAATTAACATTAAAATAACCCTGTGAAGGACCCAAAGCAGATCACCCTAAGCTTGTGGTTTGTCACCCAACGAGCAGCTCCATGGGGCTGCCTGTAGCACATGCATCTCCACAGTACTCTCCACCAGGCCATGAGGTGTGGAGGATCCTCAAACACAGCCACAGGACCCTGACTGCCTGTTGGGGACACAGGAGATGGTCCCCACAATATTGGTATGCAATCCGCACCCTACGTGCAGGCAGAGGCAACAACGCTGGCTTTGACAGCACTCAAACCAGGACCACATGAATGTCAGGAGAAACATACAGATGACTTGAAGCATGTGGCCCAGGTGCTTGCAGGAGGTCCTGAGGTACTGCTGCAGCAGCCTAAGACCATCTGCACATGGACATGATCTGCCCCTTTGCTCCACCATCACCTTGACGCAGCTGAAGCCTCATTGCTACCAGAACAGTTGCAGACAGTCAACACACGCTCACCAACACCATCCTGCC